TATTTAAGGTTGAATAATATCTAATTTCATGTAAATACCACATTTTGCTTATCTATTCATCCATTGATATGAACACTTGAGTTGCTTCCACCTTTTAGCTGTTGTGAATAATACTGCTATGAACATAGATGTACAAATACATGTCTGAGCTCCTGCTTTCAATTATTTTGGATATATCCCCAGATGTGGGATAGATCATATGGTAATGCAATTTCTAATTTTTTGAGGAATCACCGTACCATTTTCCATAGCAGCTGCACCATTTTACATTCCCAGTTAAATGTTCACAAGGGGTTCAATTCCGCCACATCCTTACCAATATATTATTATGTTTTTTAACAGTAGCCATCCTAATGGGTGAAATGGTATCCCATTGTCCATTTGATTTTTTTTATTATGAATTTTCTTGAAAATTTTTTATAGATTAGTACAAAGATAAATTTCAGTCCAGTTTTTCTCCAAACTTATTAATTCTGAATTTGAGGAAGCAAATTAGGTTTCAATGAGTTCGTTTTCTTCTTCAGTTGGTCTCCACCTGGATGTTTATCAGTCTAAAATAGGGAGAAAACTCATTAAATGGCCTCCAAAATACACATGAATGTATGGTGTGTAATCAATAATCGGTAAGACTTTAAGTTTTTCTTAACCCTTGGATTCCATGTTATGCATATACAACAGCGACTAATTCCCTAGAATGTACCAAACATTTTCCTTCTTACCTATTCAGCATTCCTTTAATGCCAGACACTGTGGTGAGTGATGAGGATATAAGAATGAGTAAGAAGACACTGTATTACAACATTATGAAACAGATATAATTATTCCCACTTTACATTTGAGGAACCTGAAGATCTAGGTTTAGCATCTTGACTAAGATCAGACAGAGCTTGAGGAAGTTGTATCTTACTCCAAAGCTCATATTTTCTACTATTCTATACTATACTCTGTACTATCAACAGTTTTAAAAAGAAATATTCACCTGTAATTTCTATTTTTCACGTTAGATTTCCAAATGTTGGGTTTTGAGAAGAATGGCACAATATAGGGAAACAAACAAACAAGCAACCAAAAAACTTGTAAAACTTCCATCTAGGAGTTGATAAACTGAATTGGAATCACTTTATCAGGCACTATTATCAAAGTATGCAAAGTAAAAAGGAAAATTTTAATGTAAACAAAAATAGTAAATCCTGGAGAGAACTTTGAGTATCTGAGGCTTATTTAAAAAACTGACATACCTTTCAAGGCTCACTAGCCTGCCAAAAATCAGAATGTTATTCCTAAGCAGTTTATTTCCTAGACATGATTTTAGTTACAAGTAGAAGATCCTTCCAGTCCTATATAAAATTCTCTAGAGATAGAAAAATTAAAATAAGATTTAAAGACTCAAAGAATCAACAACTTCATTGATTCTCCATCTAAACAAAACCAAACAGAGGCAAAGAAAGAAAAAAACAATGCTCTGGCTGAGGAAACTTTTAGAGAAATGACAGAATTCAAAAAAAAAATTTTCCTATCCCATTTCAAACATTCTTTCAGTAAAACAAAAAAAATTAAGTAGTTTTTATAAATCAATTTGACTCTAAAAGTTAAATTCTTTTTTAGCTAACATAATATTTCTTAATTTAAGAAAAAAGATATATTATACTATATTAAGGCACCAAAATGCTACAAATAAGCATGATTTCAATGTACATAATCTTACAGAAAAATTTTATAAATAGAGCAAAATAGTCCCTGTTATAGATTTAGTTTATGTTTCTTTTTAATCTTTCTTTTTTTGGGGAGGTGGGGTAGGAGAGAAGGAGGTAATTAGGTTTGTCTGTTGGTTGGTTTGGTTGTTTGTTTTAGAGGAAGTACTGGGGATTGAACCCAGGACCTTGTGCATGTGCTCGAGCACTTTGAGCTATACCCTCCCCCTAGTTTAGCTTTCTTACCAATATTCTCACCACTTGTAACAAAATTATCCCTAATTGTTGAAGAAGAGCTGGATGTGATGGCTACCCAGAAACTTAACCCTCCTTTACAACTTAAAAAAAACAAGATTAAAGATGAACAACTTAAAACATATGTATGTTTCCACAAAGAGGATTGTTATTTTCTAAAGACATACCAACAAATACCTTGGCTCTCAAAAAATGTTTGCTGAGCCAGATGACATAGAAGCGTATAGCTTACCTGAAAGGAAGAAGAAAAAAACCCTATAAATAGTTATATGTGCTTTTAGGTGTAGACTTTTGGGTAAACAGCAAGTAATGTTTAATGGTTAAAACATAAACAGCTTTAATTAATTCAAATGACCCGAATACAGTATTTATTGAGTTCCTACCATGTGCTAGGCACTCTGGAAGATACTGAGTATAAAGAAATAATCTATACCTTAGAGTTTATAAGGTAACGGATATATACTTCAAAACTATCCTTTTGCACAATTGCATGATCATCAAGCAACTGTATGTCCTCCCCAAAAGTTTAATACACATAAAATATTACATTGCAGGGGTTAGCTTTCTGGTCAATGTATCAACATACCAATTTTTAAATTAATAAATCACCATTCAGGTTTGCACATCACTTTTCATGAGTTTAGTTAGCTTGAATGAATCCCCAAAGCTTGAGTAATCACCTGATTAACTGGTTAGATGTTATTTCTGAAACTTTAGAGCTGAGAATCAAATATAGGAGTAGAATATGTGTATACACAGATGATTACCAATTGAGTCTCTAGTTTATCTAACAACATACATTTATTTCATCATGCCCTTCAAACTGCAAATATAGTTAACTCATAAAACTGATGTAAAGAGTAAATACGATATTCCAGGGGAGAGGGTATAGCACAGTGGTACAGTGCATGCTTAGCATGCACGAGGTCCTGGGTTCAATCACCAGTAACTTCATTATAAACAAACAAACAAATAAATAAGCCTAATTCTCCCCTGCCAAAATTAAATAGAAACTTCCACTTAAAAAAAAAGATATTCCATATAACATTGCTTCTCAAACTTTAATACGCATGTGGATATATTACCTGTAGATATGCTTAAATGCAGACTGATTCAGTAGGTCAGGGGCAAGGACTGCGATTCTTCCTTTCCCGTAAGTTCCCAGTGATGCCCAGACTGCTGCCCACAGCAGGGTACCAGGAGGGGATGTAACACACCTGGCACAGCTGCTGGCACACAGGCTGCTTATCCCAGCTGACTATTCCCTCCCATTTGTGGATGTCTTATCATCTTTACTGATCTCACCTTTCTTGAATGAAATAAATGATGGTTTTTCAATCTTTGTATCCTCTTAAGTTCTAACCTAATCAGAATGCCTTCCATGTTAGGCATTAAACACATGTCAACTGAATGAATAACATTCAGCCTTTAAGTCCATTCTTCTATGGTTGTAGACAGAACTGCTTCTTCCTTTGAATTAATTTAGAAAAGTATTTTTGAAAACTGAAAAACCAGAAAAGATTTCTATTTTTTTAAGTAAAGAAGAAAACTGTATTTGCAACATAATCCAGTGCATTTTGTTTCTCAGGCCAATCTAATAAAATTTTTTAAAAATCCATAATAACTTGTTAATTTATTTGCTAGTGAGTCTTCCATTTTTTGCAAATACGAATTTAATGTTTTAAAACTAATATTAAAAAGTAATCATTTTCTTAGAATGTATCTTGTATTTTTTAACAGCACAATAAAATTATAAGGACACCTTAGAAAAGGTAGTATCTTTAAGTCCCTGACTTTTAAGACTAACGGTACCATAAAAAAAAATCAAATAGTGCTACTGCTATCAGCAAGTAGGTCTTTGGCACAGTTTCATGTTTCTGCGCTTTTTTTCTGTGATCACCATGACAAGTGACTAAGTATCTTAGGGCTGGCTTCTACATTTGTATTACTTATTAATCTGATTACATTTTGTTCCACGCTGAGAAAAATGTTGATACGGTGTTTTAAACACTCAAGAAAAGGACAAAGGTAGAGTATTATTGTCATTTCTAAGATGTTTGCCTCTACAGTTTCGTGGCTTTTTTGATGTTTTTGTGAAGAGTTTGCCAATTACCAAAATAAAGACTTATTTTTTGAGTAACTAACGGGATGGTAACCAAGAATCGGGTTTTTAAGCAATGAATTAAGACAACCTAACGGTCTTACAAATAAACATGGGATAACCGGGTTTTCGCTTCCCAACATGAAGCACACCAATCCCCCAGATCTGGCGACCCGCCGCCTCGCGGCACAGACCCGCCCCTGCCCGCAGCGACCGCGCGCGCCGGGGCCGCCGCGGAGGCCGGGCGGGCGCACGGGGATCTACGCATTTCCTCTGGAGTTTGCTTTTTCGTCTTTATTGAAGTTGTGTTTTGGTTTTTGTTGTTTAAGACCAGACACAGGCGGGTGGCGCCCCGAGCAGGCACTTCGGCGCCTGAGGCGCGGATGGAGCGGAGGTGACCTCGAGACCGTGCTCCCACGTCCCCACTAAGGCGGCAAAATGGTGGCAGTGAACTAGAGCCGGCCAGGCCGGGCGGGGTTTCGGCGCGGCCAGGTTGGAGCCCGCCAGACTCTGACGGCCGGATCTGTCCTCACCCAGGCCGCGTCGGGGGCCCACACCCTGGGCAGCTGCCGGCGTGGCGCCCGCGGCAACGAGACCCCGGGCGAGGGCTTGGAGGCGGCGTCCCCGCGACCGTGAACAAGGGCGCCATTATTGCCGTCCCCTACCGGCGCCGCGGCCGCAACCCGCGCTGGAAGCGAGGCTCGAGGCTCGGAAGGAGGGACGAGGAAGAAGGGAGGGATGAGGGCCGGCCAGGAGAGGCAGGGAGGGGGAGACGCGCGGGGCGGGGCGAGGCGGGGCCGGGATCCGGGGAGGGGGCCTCCCCTGCAGGGCGGGCGGCGGGCCCCGACTCGGTCTGCCCGCTCCCTGCGGGTGGGGCTCCAGCAGTAGGGTGACCCACCCCGCCCGGAGCTTCCCCGGGCGGCCCGGGGTCGTGGTCCCGCGGCGCCTCTTACCTGTGCTTTCCCTGTCTCTCTCGTCCGCCATCTTGTTGCGGGGCCGTCGCAGGGGAGAGCCCTGTCGTTAGGCTAGGTCGCAGCGCCCTAGCCCCCTCCAGCCCCGCGGCGAGTCGGGCCTGAAGGATGGGTGGCTCCAAGTCCCGAGGGAAGAAGACCCTTGGGCGGGGTGGGGGTGGGGGTCTCGGAACGCGCGCCCTCCCCCTTCCCGCCACGACCCTCTGGCGCCCGGGAGACCGGAAGCCCGACCCTCCGCCCGCGACCCCCGCACCGCGTCCGCGGCTTCAGCCTATTCCCTCCAGAACCGAGGCCCGGACTCGTTTTTCTGGCGTGGAGGAAGTATTTAATAATAAAAAGTCCCGAATCTCTGATCCATTTGGGGACATCACGGACACACTGCTCTCCCCCTCCCCTCCTGTTTGTAGGATGTGGCGTTGCTCGATTTTTTTTTTTTAAACTGCAGATTTGAAGCTGCAGCTGGAGAGCTGGGTGAGGAGCTTGGCTCTCGAAGGGTAACAGAACCAACCCGCAGTCCCGCCTCCTCCCCTTCGCATCCACAGCCAGCGGCAGCCGCGGACGGGCCCGACCCGCCCCTCCTCCTGTCCCCGGTTTCTCCCGTCCAGTGCTGGCCGCCCGCTCCCAGGGACGGCGACTGCGCGGCGGGCGGGAACCGGGCCGGCGCGGGAGGAAACCAGAGCCATTAGACTGTTATTACTGGAGCCGAGGGGTCGCGGTAGAAAAACATGTGTGAAAGGCGCAAACACTGCGTTGTCAAGGTTGCGATTTTGATACAAAATAGAAGGATTTCATAGCAACAAAAACGTGCCCATGTTTTGCTCATTTTTACGTACATGAAAATGTGAAATTTGACATTTCCTCCAGCTGCAGTTACTGAGGGAAAGTTTTAAATCTCGCTTTCTGAAGCTGTGGCATGATAAGAATTTTTGTCTCATTTTAGGGGAAAGGCCACTATTCTAGAATATTTCTTTTAAAAATGATTTTTGAATAAAATGCCTAATGTGATTCAAGCAAATGTCTATTTTAAAACGAATCTTAGGTGATTTTTAAAGGCATGTGTGTACTAATTTACTTGATTGTATATAAAAATAATTTATAAACTTAACTAAATATTAAGAGGAGTTCAAAATACAAGGTATTTAATGGTTTTATTAACTGAGTCTTTTTGGTCTTTATTCTGGTTCTATAATCTCTTCAGTAAACCCTAAAGGAAACTGACTGATACTCTTCTTTTTTAAAATAAGTATTTTTTCTTTAGAAGATACTCGAGTAATACTGTGATCAGCATTCTCTTTTAAATTGACTATAAACAATTGAATCATCACAAACTGGCTCACATTAGAAGATAAATACTTAGATAAAATGAATACAATCGTGAACAGGAAGTTCTAACTAAATGCCCCAAAATAGAAGAAAGTGATCATTAGCATTCATGCATATTTAAATTTCATAGTCATTGTGGTCTACTTGTTTTTAAGGACCCCTCTTTTCATATAGATGATGAAGGCCTTTGAACTAAAAGTGGGAAACCCCAGCTTCAGTCTTCAGGCTTACCACTCACCATGCTGTTTTCATGTGCTATTTTCAGTTTCCTTTTCTTGGAAGTGTTCCCTCCTCTCTCTCTGCCCCAACATTCACCGTCCTCCACACACATTTGTCCCCTCCCTGTTGTCAATGACCTCCTTGAAGGTCATGTACTTCTTGAAGCTTTCCCTGTCAACCTCTTCCTCTGTGGTCTCATACTCATAGGGCCTCTCACTCACTTTGATTTACAGTGACTTTGTTTATTTACATGTTTCCTCCTACCAAATTGTCAGCTCTTGAGTACAGGAAGTGCTTTATTTGTCCATATAGCCCCAGTGCATAGAACACTTTTTCAATTTTTATGTCTGAAAAAAAATGTATATTTTAAAAAATTAGGACAGGACTTGGTCTTCTCAATGACTTGAGAAGCAAACCTTTTTATTATTTAGATTATTTCAAGCCATATTAATCTCTACTTCTCTGAACTCCTGTAGCATATTTAAGACAACACTTTCTCTAAATTTGAATGAGTAAAAAAATATTGAATGTGTGTTAATTAACCCCTACCCCTAATTAGGTTTGAAGACTGGAGCCTAGTACATACACCTTTTATACACCCACAGTACCTATCCCAAGTTAGGGCACACACTAGGGGCTTAATATGTACTTTCAATTGACTAATTAGCTGATTAGACGTAAAAGTATGTAATTATTCTGGAAAACGTTCCACAATGAGAAAAGAGGTTTTCCAGGTGACAAAATAAAACCCACGATGCCAATGAGTAATTATTGTATCAGGCAGTACGCTGATATTTGACTGGATTTTCCACTTTTCTTTGGTTTGGGGAATCTGACCTCTGATTAGATTACACTTTCTTTTTAAGTCGTATTAGCTTACTTTAAACAATAGCAAACTAACTAGAACCATTTCTTTTTCCTTAGAATGTATTTAGTTTATGAACTATAGATTGAGTAGGTTTGTAATATTATTACTAAACTTTGTAACATCGTGATGATGATGCTGATGCTAAAGAATTCTTTCACTTAGAATCTCAGTGGTTTTTTCAGAAATTTAAGAGTTGGAAAATTATTTTTGATCTCACTCATGAATACTATAAAACCTTTGATCTAAATCAGAAAACTGTGGGCATAGTTTCAGACAATGACACTTATTTGATTAATTACTCAGTGGGGCCAGTGGGATGTGTACAGGTTATGTCCTTTTGCATGTTTGAATTTATAGTGTGTTAAATCTGTTCACACAAGCATCAGTTCTAAGCCCATGAGGGACACAGAAAATATTTCTTCTGCATACAATTGACTCAGTTACTTAAGATGTGGGTGAAGTGGAAAGGGTAAGTGGTGTGAATAATACAAAATGACAGTCAAAAAAAGATCTTCACAGCACCTTCACTTTCCTAGTATGGAGATCACTGAAATCTGCTTGGACTAGGAATAATTTAAAAAAAACAAAAACTGGATTTTCCTCAGCCATTGCCATGTACTGACCTCATGATCCCAGGCAAGACACGTAATCGCTTTAAAACTCAGTTAACTTAGGAAAATAGAAATAGCCATGTCCTAACTCCCTGTCTTAGAGTTTTTGTGAGATTCAATAGATGTAACTTAAAAGCTTTGAGTGGTTTAAAGAACTCGCAAGAAAACCCACTCTTCAAGTGAAATAAATCCCCACTTCCACGTAGGAAGGAGCACTTAGAGGTGAAACCCCAACTTCTTTCCTGAGATTCAGCTTCCTTTTGGAGAGATTGCTTTTCCAATACTGCAGCTACACAACAGGAGGTGGTTTGACTCCAGGCTTTACACTGTTTACAACTGGAATCTGCTGCCTGCCCTCGTGATCTCACTTAAAGGATAGAGCTTTATCTCCAGTTTGTGGCCCCTTTCTGGTTTCCGCCTTGCCATTTTTAAATCTCACCAAGCATGAGTGGCCTTAAGCATCTCTAGATTCCTTGGGCTCCAGACCCAGGAAAATGAGAGGTGAGGAGTTAATTCTCTGGTCTAATTCTAGTTTTCTAATGGAAAATACCTCCATCTTTGGATGATGAACATCAAGAGTGTCCAGCCCTTCAAGGAAGACACTACAACCCAAACCTTACCCATAAGTCTTACCTTGTAATCTCAAAAGGAAAACCGTATCAGAATACAACAGAATAAGGGTATGGTGAGGCTACAGTTATAATAATAAAAATAACTATAAATACTTCGTATACATTATGTTTTTTAATCCTTATGAGCTAATAGTATCCTGGTTTTACAGATGGAAAAGCTACATCTTCACATGAATGACCTGTTTAAGGTCTCAAAGCTAGTGGGTAAGAGCTGGCTAGGAATCTAATTCTGATTCCAGAGCCACTGTGCTAAAATGCTTCTTTATAAATGTAAGATACCATTGTTATATTCTGTTTAGTAACCTGAATATTTAAAGAAGAATGTTTAGGGCAAAAATTCGGGGCAGAATTAGTCACCTTCCTCCTCCACTTTTTTTTTTTAAACTGCTTCAAAACATCAGCCAAAGTAACTGGAAGAGACTCATAGGGACTTTAAAGGAACCAGACAATGGCATGCATGTTGTCCTTGTCTGGACAAAGTATTAAACTACAGACCTAGCTTTTGAATGGCGGGCAAGGAAGTGAAACCCACTCTTCCACCATGTCCCAGGGGTCTGTCCCCCTTTTTTTCTTTCCTTCCTACCTTCCTGCAGATTGAGGTTTCAGGCCTCCGTGTAATGAAGGAGAATTGTGTTAAATTCTTGGCTCTGGGCAAGAGCATTTCCAATGCCAGAGCTGCTTCGGGCTTTTCAGGGAGACCCAGGGCAGGAAGCTGGGGATGCAGCATTGGGGGCAGCTTGAAAGTAAATCTTACATGAAACCACAACTCTTAGAGCATTTGGGAAAAAAACACTCCTGGCCCTCTTTCTCTCAAAAGCACATGTTTCTCTCTGTTTCCCTGAAGACACACATTGACACAAGAAGTCACTGTTTAATTCATTACTCAAGCACTTCCTGTTCTAAACAGCACTTTTCAGGGACACTCATTGCTAAGCAACTTTTGATGGGTCTTTGTTCTTTATTCATTGAAAATCAGACCTGAAAGGGGAAGGGTGGTAACTGACCCAGAGAGTCAGTAAATATTTATGATCTCTCATACATCTTCCCCCTTAAGTATGAAAATAAAGGAAAATGTAGAATTATACAGGGAATTGACTTTGGAATCACTTTTATAAAATTCCAGCCTCAAAAATAAATCTTTGAAATTAACTTTTATTTCTTCATATTTCCATTAGGAGATAGTACTGTATAGAAGAATCAAGCAAATAGTTGTAGGAGGTGAATGAACCTGGGATGGAGCCTCAACCCACTGCTCATTGGATGTATGACTTTGGACATGTTACTTCTCCTGTGTAATCTCAGTTTCCCCATCTGAGGTTACACAGAGATAAGGAGATGCTTGAGCAGTGGGACATGGAAGCACCCCTCCTTCTCCCTTGACTGGTGGCCTTGTGACCCTCCAATGATTCTGGGGCCACTAGTGATAGCATTTGGAGCATTTTCTATGTTCCAGGAACTATGCTGAGCATTTTACCTGGACTGTCTCATTTAGTCATCAAAATAGCCCTATCAGAAGGATACTGATAACGGTTCTCTTTTCAAGATGAAGAAAACAAGAGTTAAGATCCCAAAATTGCTTCTCTGAGAGGAAAAGTGACTTTTCTGCTGCTGAGCCCCAAAGCCTCTTTGAGGTTCTGCCTTAGAATCTTACTCAAGACTTCTCATTTCTTCCCTGTATCAAGCCCCAAGGACTTGACTGCCCTCCTGCCTCTGGGAGGAAGCATTGCCATC